ACTATACAATTTTTATTTCAGTGTATAAAATTATTAGTTGACAATTTTTTAACATTTGTCAGTAACTATTTGAGCTTTTGCAGAGATCAAAGTTTGAAATTTCCAAATCCCCTATTCCTAATTTCTTAGACTCCTAAATCCCCAAATCTCCAAATCTCTAAATTCTGAAATATCCCATTTCCTGAATCCCTAAATCCCTAAATCCCTAAATCCCTAAATCTCTAAATACCCAAATTTCCAAATCCATCATTTCTAATTTCCTAAACTTCTAAATCCCCAAATCTCCAAATCTCCAAATTCTGAAATATCCAATTTCCTCAATCCCTAAATCCATAAATCCCCCATTTCTAATTTCCTAGACTTCTAAATCCCCAAATCTTCAAATCTCCAAATTCTGAAATATCCAATTTCCTCAATCCCTACATCCCTAAATCCCCAAATTTCCAAATCCCCCATTCTTAATTTCCTGGACACCTAAATCCCCAAATCTTCAAATCTCCAAATTCTGAAATATCCAATTTATTGAATCCCTAAATCCCTAAATTCCCAAATTTCCAAATCCCCCATTCCTAATTTCCTAAATCCCCAAATCTCCAAATCTCCAAATTTCCAAATATCAAATTTCCTAAATGACAAATCTTTTGTCTAAAAAAAAAATACTAAATTATAATTTTAATCTAATTCTTCTCTTCAATTATTTCTCCATTTTCTATATTTCAATACTGCCATAAATTTCCATGAATTCACCCTTTTACACCCTTTGACCCTACATCCACAAAATTACGTTTGATCATAAATTTGTTACTAATATAACATTTACCGACGGCCAAAATCTCAACCCACAAAAGATGTAATAATTCTACTAATATTCTCGGAGGACCCTAATATTGTGTTTGTTCTTTTATGTTTGTCAGCCTGTACCGTGCTCATCCACTGCGCATTTTTGGATGCGCGATGAACTGACAATAAAAAGGTAACGTAAGAGATTCGGAGGGCCAGATGTTGTGCAAGGATTCTGCATCCTCGAGGCCGTTTCATGGGTCTTGTGGTAGAGCACCTTGCTCAAACCAAACAGCGTTGACCTCCTGCACCACAGAAATTCGATACTGCTCGGAACCTCGTAATCTCAGTCCCTGTGTAATATCCTGTTCGTCTATATTCTACCTTGTTCCAATTTTCAATTCTGTCGTGCGATTAGGAATGGAGAATTTTTATTGCGAATCAAAAATATTTTGTATTAAATTTGAAAATGAAGGTTCGTTGTGTTGGAAACATTTTGAGTGTGTGTAAACGTAATTATGGTGAGGGAGATTTCTTTTTTATTGCATTGGTGTTATTCTTCTTTTTATCGTTTAGTTTTTTGTCGAAAGCTTGCATGTCACGTTGTAGTTCCTCGTAGGACTCTTCCATGGTGTCTGTGCAGCTTGAAAATCTGTTTAAAATAGCTAATATAGTTATTTTTTATAATTGAGTAAGGTAATTATGTAAGGACAATGATATACTAGTTAGGGTGAATGATGTACTAGTTAGGCTTTTGGTATATTGCAGTTTGTGGTACTCTTGTTATATTGCATTAGTAGTGTCACCATTTTGTTGTGGGACACTAGAAACAAGGTAAACTCTTGCTACTGCTTAAGTTCCTATATCTTTTCAAATTTTTAACTTTGCAAATTTTTAGATTAGTAAATTTTTTTAGTTTTCAAATTTCCAAATTCCTATACTCCCAAAACCCGAAATCTTGAAATCCTCAAATATTCAATTTCCTGAATCCCTAAATCTTCAAATTCCCCATTTCTAATTTTCTAGATTCTCAAATCCTCAAATTTCCAAATATCCAATTTCCTAAATCCCTAAATCCCTAAATTCCCAAATCTCCCATTTTTAATTTCCTAGACTTCCAAATCTCCAGATCTCCAAATCCCCAAATATCAAATTTCCTAAATTCCTAAATCCCCAAATTTACAAATTCCCCATTCCAAATTTCCTGGCTTCCCAAATTCCTAAATTTTTAAATTTCCAAATCCTCAAACATCTAATTTTCTAAATCTCTAAATCCCTAAATTCCCAAATTTCTAAAGATCCCATTCCTAATTTGCTAAATCCCTCTATCCCTAAATCCCTCACTTCCAAATTCCCAAATCCCAAATCCTAAAATTACCAAATATCAAAGTTCTCAAGTCCTGAAATTCCCAAATCTCAAAATTCCCAAATCCCAAAATTCTCAAGTCCCAAAACTCTCAAATCCCAAAATTCCTAAATCCCAAAATTCCCAAATCCCAAAACATCTAAATCTCCAAATCCCCTAATCCCAAAATCCCCAAATCTACAAATCTACAAATCCCCAATTCCCTAAATCCCCAAATCCCAAAATTCCAAAATTCCAAAATTCCAAAACCCCAAAATCCTCAAATCCCCAAATCCCCAAATCCCCAAATCCCCAAATCCTGAAATATCAAATTTCCTAACTCCCTAAATCCCCAAATTTCCAAATTTCTAAATCCCCCATTCCTAATTTGTTAAATCCCTAAATCCCCAAATCCTCAAATCCCTAAATCTCCAAATCCTCAAATACCAATTTTCCCAACTCCCTAAATCCCCCAATCCTCAAATCCCCAAATCACCAAATTCCCCACCTTCTAAGCCCCTAAACCTCCAATTTCCCAATTCACGAATTCTCAAGTTCCCTATATTACTGCAATATAAGAAGAGTCTACTATTAATTTTCGAGCTCATTACTCCATTCCTAGTTACATTTACCCAGGGAAAAATTTAGTGGAACACATTTTGCAGCTTTCATATGCAGCAAGTGCCGTCTTGTCCAATCCATGTTCTTGAAATACTTTAAACTGATCGTGCCACATTCCTTTTATTCCTAACGGAAGTAAAGGCTCTGCATCGCTGCGTTTCGCCTCACTTTTCTCTAAAATTAATTTTAATTATACATTACACTTTATACTCATATAATTATGAAGTTAAATACAAGAAAAATATACGAATATTAAATATAAGTCACAGTGAACTTTTCCTGTATTTTTATAACAATTTACTCTATCTTCATTTATTTATTTATTTATTTGATCAAAATATAAATAATACCCGATGGCATCACGTAAGGTTTCAGGTTAGTTTCACTGTCTAACACATGCCAGAATTCTTTCGTTTTCAATCGTTGACTGTAACTCACGTTTCGATTAAACGGTAATTCAATGCAAATTTTACCGCTTTTCGACATTGCTTTCAAATATTTTGCCGCTGCTGTTGGATGGTAAACGTCACTTCCGATTGTGGAATGTTACTAAAACAATGGATACATGTGAATGGGTCGTGTAGGGACATCTGATACGGCAGCTGAGTCGATAATGTAAAACTGTGACCATAGACTAAGTTTAAGATAGAGTTGGTTTGGTGTTGAGGTTCTTTAAATATCACTTATGTAGAGAGAAAATAGTACTCGCTTTTGGGATTTAGTGACAAGTGCTGCACCAAGCGGGGAAGTTAGAAAGAAATAGAAACCTGATGTTATATTAACAAATAAAGGAATCTACATATGTATGTTAATTATAGATGCAATATTAACTGTCATATATAAGAGTTATCTTGATTTGTAGAGTACATCTTCCTTTAATAATTGATTTGGGGTTTCATTTAAGAAGTACCATAATCATGAGGAATTAAACGGGTGTGTACTAAGCAAATGTATATGCTAACTCTACGGTGAAATATGTAGGAATCTACTTTAGCAGTAGTAAGTACGGTTTCACCATAAATAAACTTTACCATCGATACAATATCAAAATAGACAGAAACAAGCTTTATTATAGAAAATGTCTCTCTTCGAATAAATCGTCACGCTCTGAATCACGTCAAATTTTAATAAAATCGGTATTATTTGTATTTTTCAAAAGTGGAATTTGTGGCGCCATCTCTCCGGCGAACGGGGTGAACTACACACTTTTGAAACTGGAGTTTCATTAGTTCCTACATGCTACCGCTAGATGGCGCCATGTATGCCGTTTCTGTGGTGATCATCGGAGTCGTCGTCGGTCAAGAGGAATTCTATTTTCAAGCCGTCGATAAAGAACAATTTTATTTGTATTTGATATTCAATTTTATTTATGTTCAATTGTATTTTTAAAAGAAAAACGTTCGTTATTCATTCCATAATCAAATCTAAATTCTAAATCACATATTTTATAATCAATTTTAATAAATCAGTTATTTTTGAAAGTTATAGTTAGTTGACTAATTTTAAAAATAGAAAAACGCTCTCTATATTTCGGATTCAATTCAATGAATATTGATTTTATTACCTTAATTCAGTATGGTATGCGTCAAATTATGTTGGAGTAGTAACTGACTTCGGAATATTTTTTAACTTTAACAAATTATTATCAAATTTAAACAATTCTCATGGTAATCAAGGTTTCTGTATTGATCATCAGGATCGTCGGTCAAGAAGAGTTTTGTTGCTAAATCTGTCGGTCAAGAAGAGTTCTTTTTATTATGATCGTCGGTGAAGAAGAATTCTGCTATCAGAGTCGCCGGTTAAGTAGAGTTCTGTTAATAAAACCGTCGGTCAAGAAGAGTTCTGTTACAAAATCTGTCGGTCAAGAAGATTTCTTTTATTATGACCGTCGGTGAAGAAGAATTCTGTTATCAAAGTTGTCAGTCAAGAAGAGTTCTGTTACAAAATCTGTCGGTCAAGAAGATTTCTTTTATTATGGCCGTCGGTGAAGAAGAATACTGTTATCAAAGCTATCAGCTCTTCTCAAGCTTTTCTTGACCGACGGTTCTGATGATCATCACAAAAATTTTTGATGTGCTGCCACCTAACGGTAGAAGATGAGAACTAATTGTACTAGAGTTTCAAGAGTGTGTAGTTCACCCTGTTTGCCGGACAGATGGCGCCACTTATCCATTTTCGAAAAGAGTCAATTAATATTAATTTTAATGATCAATGTGTATTTATTATATATTTATTGTCTATTATTATTGTTTTTATATTGCTTACAATATATTCCACGAGTCTAAAAATTATGTGTGGAGAACAATTCGCACACTGTACTACATCTTCTCAATACAGGGATCTTAAAGTCCTGAGATTTCAAATTTCAATATTTCCAAGTTTTCAACTCTAACTCTCTTTCTCTAAATTCCTAAATCTCTGAGTCACAGAATTCCTGACTCAAACTACAAAATCGAATTCCCAAATATTCCTAAATTTATCCACAATCCACAGAAGCCAGTGCCTTTCCAAACACAAAGTGCCGACAGTTTTAGATCATCGCCATTTCAGTAATGCGATTGCTTCGATCATTCGTCTTCGTCATCCTCCTCTTCCTCTTCCTCCTCCACATCCACAGCCTCTTCTTCTTCATCTGCAAACTCGTCATGTAATTCCACCCCAAATCATATCATCTACAGTACTCACCCATTTCTAACGGAGGTGGCGGTAATTTGGAGATTCGATATGCCTCCTCCTCCTCAAACGTGGGATCCCGAATCTCCATAATCTCAGGACCTATGGGATACTGCTCCTGCACCTCCGGCATCCACGGTGGACTATAATTGTAAGCCGTATACTTGCACCCCCATCCAACGTACAAGTTAGCGAATCGCCTGCGAACATTAAACAAACATTAATTTCCCACGCATTAATATCTCTTTCTTGCGCCACTATAGATTAGGTTATGGATAATATCCCGGGTCATTGCACTGTTTCTTCCCACCGTAGAATTTATATTCGTCGACCACCATAAATATCGTAGATATCACGGGTCTGCTTAATGGAAAATCATTATTGAATACGAGCCAGAGTGCACGCACCTTCCACAGGCGAACGCGAACGCCCCCGGCCAAATGTTCGATCGAATTAATGCGACAGCGAGCTCTGGCAATATTTGAGAGGACTGCGTTCCTGTCCAAGGTGTTATCGAATCTACCACCGCGTCTTCTGACAACGGGGTTAAAAGGGGCGGGCCAACCTCTCTTTGAACGCCGGCCGCTTCTTCCTCTTCTTCGTCGAGATCCTCCTCGTCCATGACTTCCTGGTATCAACGAAATAACGTCTTTTACTCTGTTTTCAAAACTTTGCCAAATTCATCGATGTCAAACTATGAGACGGGGTTTAGAAGAGATATTTTTTAAATTCATTTTCTTTATTCTAGTTGTGGATAGTCATAATGTCTTCTACTTTAGTGAGTGTCTGCTTAGACACTTTTTGAATCTGATTGATATTATGATAGATTGAGTTTCAAGTGGTCTTTGAAGTAATAGGATTGAAGTAGTAGAATATTTTGAATAACTTGTTCGTCTGATCTGCTGGGGTCCCACCAGACGGTACGACCTTGTTTTAAGATGTAGGGTGAGTGGTGGCACCAGTTAGACATCGAGGGGTCGATCAACTCCTTTATTGGCCGAGGGTCGTAGTGCACGTTTTCAGACAGTCCTCCTCCTGCAGTTGTTACAGAAAGAAATTGAGAATTTTAAAATAGAAAATATTGGAATTTTTAAATATTTTAGGATTCTAAGGTTTTTGGGGATTTTTGTAACTTTGCAGTTTTTGAAATTTTTGTAATTTTGCAATTTTGGGAATTTTTGTAATTTTGCAATTTGGAGGATTTTTGCAATTTTGCAATTTTTGTACTTCTGCAATTTTGGGGATTTTTGTAATTTTGCAATTTTTTTGCATGTTTGTAGTTTTGCAATTTTTGGGATTTTTGTAATTTTGCAATTCTGGGGACTTTGTAATTTTGTAATTTTTGGGATTTTTGTAATTTTGCAATTTTTTAGATGTTTGTAGTTTTACAATTTTGGGGATTTTTGTAATTTTGCAATTTTTAGGATTTTGGGATATGAAGATTTTAAAATAGTAAAGTTTCAAAATTTTGTGACATTAATTACAGCAGTGCAATTATGTGATTTTGGTGTTTTGGTATTTTGAAATTTTTGGATTTTGATATTGGAATTTTGGTACTATTTCAATTTTAAAAATTTGGAACCTTGAAACTCTGTAACACTGTAATTCTGTAATTTTTATATTTCTCAACTTTGAAATTTTTAAACTTCAAAATATTAATATTATTTGTGCGCCATTATTACTTGAAAACTCGTCAACTTTATATCACATTGAAACTTCAAAATTTTAACTTCGTAATTTTTTGACTGCAGGACTCCGAAGCTTTGATATACAGGGTGTCTCAAAACTAGTATAGGTTTCGTAAAGAAATTCTCGAAAGTTAACCCCAAGTGTCTCAACTTGTGAAACACCCTGTATGTCAAAGGTCATATACCGAAACGTCAGAAAAAATAATTTTGAAAAATAGCTCAGAACTGCTTATATAACTTCATTATTATAAGTCTCATAACACCTTCGGGAGCTTCCTCTCCAAATTCCTCTTCCTCGTCCTCCCCGCCAAACGTATAGAAGCCAATCGGTGAAACCAGCGTAGCCGCGCTGATTCTAGCTATCTGCGCGCGAAGATAATTCTTTTCCTTTCCAGGAAACGGTGGGAAAGTGTATAGCTAGAGGGAAAGCAACGAGATTGAAGTACATCGAAATGACGTCATAGACCGGAAACCGCCACGTACCGGTGTCTCCAAATTTCCGGTGCAATAGCGAACAATCTGTCGTGCAATTACTATCTGCTGCGGAGTAACCGATGGAAGTTCGACCCACTTGTCCAGACCTGGTTCGTTGCATACAAAATACACCTGGAACAAAGTGGACCATCGGGTTTGATGAAAACAACCACCGTGTCTTGCGTTGCATATTAATCTCTTCGTTAGACGTACACGAGATGATTCATGTAACTGTACCACCTAATTAAGGCGCTTAAATTTTATCGTAATAAGCGCGGTTCTTTTATTTTGATGGTACTGTTACGTAAATTATCTGGGATTTTTATTTTTGATGGACACTTTTTGGGGTGTGAGAGGTATAGGGTGATTCATTTAAGGAGATACAATTTAACTTCGCTGAATACAATTTAATTTCAGTTACAAGTGACAGCTCAAAGTAGTGAAGATTATGGGTTAAAATAATGGATAATTTGTACTGGTTTGTATGTTGAATTTGTACAGGCAGTTTCATGTAATGGTGTGATAGTGAAATTACTTTTGATGGTGCAGTTAGATGAAGCACCTTGCATAAGTTTATAAAATATTGTGCAATTGATATGCATGTTTAAGAAGCAGTATAATTTGCCCTGTTCATCAGACAATATATTTCTGAATCACCCTGTATATATACACTTAATATATAGTCCAAATTACTTTAGATTAAACAGTTAGGTTAATCAACCTTCATAAGTTTGGAGCAGAGTGTAAATTTGATGTACAGTCACAGAAAACAGTGTAGTTTAAAGGACACAGAAAATGAATCACCCTGTATAAGCACATTTAATATTCAGTTCAAATGAAATTACTTTAAACAGTTAGGTGAATCAACCTTCGTAAGTTTAAAACATAGTCTAAATCTGATGTACAGTTACAAAAACTAGTGCAGTTTAAATGATGCAATAAATGAATCACCCTGTATATGTACTTTTAATATTCAGTTCAAATGAAATTACTTTAAACAGTTAGGTGAATCAACCTTCATAAGTTTGAAGCATAGTATAAATTTGATGTACATTTACAGAAAATAATGTAGTTTAAATGACACAATAAATGAATCACCCTGTATATGTACGTTTAATATTCAGTTCAAATGAAATTACTTTAAACAGTTAGGTGAATCAACCTTCGTAAGTTTAAAACATAGTCTAAATCTGATGTACAGTTACAAAAACTAGTGCAGTTTAAATGATGCAATAAATGAATCACCCTGTATATGTACTTTTAATATTCAGTTCAAATGAAATAACTTTAAACAGTTAGGTGAATCAACCTTCATATGTTTGGAGCATAATGTAAATTTGATGTACAGTTACAGAAAACAGTGTAGTTTAAAGGACACAGAAAATGAATCACCTTGTATATGTACATTTAATATTCAGTTCAAATGAAATTACTTTAAACAGTTAGGTGAATCAACTTTCATACGTTTGGAACATTGTGTAAACTTGATGTACAGTTACAGAAAATAATGTAGTTTAAATGACATAATAAATGAATCACCCTGTATAAGCACATTTAATATTCAGTTCAAATGAAATAACTTTAAACAGTTAGGTGAATCAACCTTCATAACCTTGTAACCTAGTGTAAATTTGATGTGCAGTTGCAAAAACCAGTGCAGTTCAAATGACACAATAAATGAATCACCCTGTATAAGCACATTCACTACAACTTCAAATAGCATCATTCCAAACGATCAGATAGTATAAATTTTATATAGAACACTTAAATAAATGCTTCTAAATAAATTCAATAAATAGAAGTCACTTAACACGAACCAGTAACGTGAATCACCCTGTACATAAATAGAACCCGCGGATCTATGTTCGTTATTTCAACATTTAACTGCGAAGTATTCTACGATAATACCTTGGTATTCACGCCACTTCCTATTCTCTCTGGAGGTACTTCCGGTGGCGGTTTCCATGAATGAGTAGGCAGAGGTGGAAAGACAAGCTTCAAGCCCTCCTCTTCTTTCGCTTCAGCTTCAGCTTCTTCCGCGTCTTCTTCAGCTTCTCTTCCCACAGGTTCAGCAATTTCTTCGGTGGCTCTGCGCGCTTCTTCCGCTTTCGCTTGCTCTTCCTGGCGCTTCCGTTCCTCCTCTTCTGCTATTTTCTGAAACCAAAGGGATTCAGGGAATGCTTTGTTTTGCCTTCGGCGCTATTAATTTTAACAGTATCTCCGCAAAACTGAATTCTTTAAATAACTGCTTGAAGAAATTAAATAGGACTGAATTTTGCAGTTGCGCTTGCCTCTAATCGTCTGTTTAATTCTTCCGGCTGGAGGTCTGCTTCCGCTACGTAATAATTTTTTGGGCTGCCCAGGATTTTGCCCCAGAATCTGCCATTATGAATTCATGCTTAGTAAAATTATAACGAAAAATTTAATATAGGACTTAATAAAATTGATTAATTAAATTTAATCACGATATAAATAAATGAAGATGATTTTAAACTTGAATTTTATCTTTGATGAAGATTATTTTAAATTTCAACTTCATTTTCAACAAAGACATATAAACTTCAACTTTATTTTCAAGTTTATTTTCAACTTCATCTTAGATGAAGATAATTGCAAACATTAATTTTATCTTGAGCAAAGATCATTTTAAACTTTATCTTCAATAAGAGATGATATCAAACTTTATCTTCAATAAGAGATAATTTCAAGCTTGAACTTTATCTCCAACAAAAACAAGTTCAGACTTTATCTTCCATAAGGATAAATGTAAGCTTTAATTTCATCTTCAACAGAGATAATTTTAAACTTGAACTTTGTCTTCAATAATAGATAATATCAAACTTTATCTTCAATAAGAGATAATTTCAAGCTTGAACTTTATCTCCAACAAAAACAAGTTCAGACTTTACCTTCCATAAAGATAATTTTAAACTTTAGTTTCATCTTCAATAGAGATAATTTTAAACTTGAACTTTGTCTTCAATAATAGATAATATCAAACTTTATCTTCAATAAGAGATAATTTCAAGCTTGAACTTTATCTCCAACAAAAACAAGTTCAGACTTTATCTTCCATAAAGATAATTTTAAACTTTAGTTTCATCTTCAACAAAGATAATTTCAACCTCAAAATGAACCCCAAAGATAACATCACACGTACCTAACATTTTCAATAGGATTCTGAGACATAAGTTTCCTAAGTGCCAAGTTAAGCAAAACCATCTCGCTCCTTGGCAATCCAACGTTAGCCTGTTCAAAATAATACAAGAGATCCAACATATCCGGCTTCTTCTTCTTCTTGTCTTCTTCTTCTTCCTCCTCTTCATCCACCTTAACTTGCTCACCCGTGTACATGGTTTGCACATCCTGTAATTATAGCAAGGAAGATCAAATTATTGATGATTCTTTGCATCTGAATTATGGATACCTTTCTAACCTTGACACCTTAATACCTTGAACAGTTTGATGAGGTTCTTAGCTTCTTTGTACTGCACCGGTGGTACGTATAGGTCTCGAAGATGATTATCCTCTGTTTTGAACCTTTCTCGCTTCACCTTCTTGCTGATCTCTTCGAAAACGTCGACTGCGTTTCTTGGTTGCTCTGCGAGGATTTTGTTTAGGAGCTCTGCTAAGTGATCGTATCTAATTTATTGAAAATTGATGAAAAGAAATGTTTAATGTTAGAGGATCTTGAAACTTTTCAATTTTGGGAGATGTTTTTTATGAAGGATTTCTATGTTGGGTGTAAGGTAGGGTTTTAACTAACTTAATTTATTGGAAGAATTTTTAATTGTCAAATTTGTTGAATTTGCAGAAAATTGAATTTGTACAGTAAATATCAAGGTTTTAAAATTTGTTAATTTTTTTCAGTTTTCAATTTTTACATTCGTATATCTTCAAGTTTGAAAATTCTCAAATGTTAAAATCGTATTTCCTAACCTCTAGATTATCAAATCTTAAATTTTCATATTCCTGACGAAGTTTCTAAATTATCATATCTCTAAACACTCAAACTTCCTAGTTTCCTAACCTCTAAATTCCTAAAGTCCTAAATTACTAAATCTCTAAATTTCCTAACTTCTATAATTCCAGATCTTTACGTTTTCTAACCTCCAAATTAGCAAATGTATAAATCTTCTAGTTCCTAAACTGTGACATTATTAAAATCCTAAATTCCTAAATTTCCAACTGTCTAAATCCATAAATTCCTAAATTTTCATATTTCTAAATTTCTAAATTCTCAAATATCCAAGGCCCTATGTGTTCAAACCCCTATGTGTCCAAACCCCTATGTCCCCAAATTCCCAAATTCCCAAATTCCTAAATCCCCAAATCCCCAGATTCCCTAATGCCCAAATCCCCAAATCCTCAAATCCCCATATCCCTGAATTCCCAAATCCCCAAATCCCCAAATCCCCAAATCCCCAAATCCCCAAATCCCTAAATTCCCAAAACCTGAAACCTTGAAATTCCCAAATCCCCAAATCCTCAAATCTTGAAATCCCCAAATTCCCAAATTCCCAAATTCCTAAATCCCCAAATCCCCAGATTTCCAAATGCCCACATCCCCAAATCCCCAAATCCCCATATCCCTAAATTCCCAAATCCTCAAATCCCAAATTCCCAAAACCTCAAACCTTGAAATTCCCAAATCCCCAAATCCTCAAACCTTGAAATCCCCAAATCCCCAAATCCTCAAACCTTGAAATCTCCAAATCCCTAAATCCTCAAATCTTGAAATCCCCAAATCCTCGATCCTTCAAATCCCCAAATCCCCAAATCCCAAAATGACCAACTCCACAAAACCTAAAATCCCTAAACTTCCAAACACCCCACATCCTAAATCCCCCAACCCATTTTCCCCAAATTCCAACCTCTCCCCAAAATATTTAACAACCTTAATCTCTAAACTCACAGACTATCGCCAGATTCAGGGCTATGTTTCTGAAGAAACATTTTAGCTCTTCGCAAATCGTGCTCCACACTGGGAACATCATCGGGAGGTACTTCCTCGACGTCATAACAGTACGCCATTTTGATTATCTTCGTAAACTCGTTCGAATACTACAAACTATACATTTCATCGTTACGTCGCTCAAATTATTATCATTCGTCGAAAACGTAATTGGTGGTTCGGTAATCTGTCATCGTAACACAAAAAGCATATCGCTGACGAACAATGTCGATTCTCTTCTTGTTTTTTCTTTCCTCTTCTTTTATTTCCAACGCATAATCAGCATCGTTCATCCGTTTCAGAGGCGTAGCTTCACAACTACCGTTTCGAAAGCGTTATCTAATGACCCAAATATATTAACGAACCGAAAACGTCCCTAATCAACTCGAAATTAATTAAACCTGACTCGATGATAAGCGGTTCTACGGTGATCGGACTGATTTCTGTTTCCTGAAACTAATATGGGCGAATCGACACGTTTTGAATAAAATGGACGCTTCGTGTCTGTCAAACTTTAATGTCATGAACAAACTTTCATGAAGACATCGATGTTTTAATGTATGGAGAAAATTACTTGGTCAAAATGAATGTTATTATTTTATATTATTATATTGTAGGTTATGTTGGGTGTATATTTGGAAACTTTAATATTTTGTGCAAGTCTAGTTCGTTTAGTTAGGTAATCATTTATTTTTACAATAAAATATATCATTCATTTTTACAACAAATTAAGTCATTTATTTTTACAATAAATTAAATCATTAATTTTTACAATGAAGTACAGTATTTATTTTTAGAATAAATTAAATCATTTATTTTTACGATAAAGTACACCATTAATTTTTGTAATAAAGTACATCATTTATTTTAACAATAAAGTACAGCATTTATTTTTACAATAGAGTACAGCATTTATTTTTACAATAAATTAAATCATTAATTTTTACAATGAAGTACAGTATTTATTTTTAGAATAAATTAAATCATTTATTTTTACGATAAAGTACACCATTAATTTTTGTAATAAAGTACATCATTTATTTTAACAATAAAGTACAGCATTTATTTTTACAATAGAGTACAGCATTTATTTTTACAATAAATTAAATCATTAATTTTTACAATGAAGTGAAGTATTTATTTTTAGAATAAAATACATCACTTATGTTTGCAATAAAGTACAACATTTATTTTGACAATAAATTAAATCATTTATATTTTTTCAATGAATGAAATCATTTATTTTGACAATAAATTAAAACATTTATATTTTTACAATAAAATACAGCATTTAGTTGTACAATAAACAACATCATTTATTTTTACAATAAAGTAAATCATTTATGAATGCACTAAAAAACATAATTTATTTTTTCAATAAACGAAATCAATTTTTACATCAATTTCTACAACAAATTCAATACAGGAATGAAGATAATAAAAGACATCTTTGAGCAAAGACAGCACGGCGCCATTAAAGCAATTTAAGCTACAATGTGAACTCCTGCGACATTAATATTTAATAGGATAATTTGTATGTAAATCCAAGTTGAAGACGGAAGAATGAAACGTATCTCTGACATGAATGGTCATATCTATCTGAATGAAATTAAATCGCACGCGCCGCTTTCTACATATCAGGCTGCATCCTGGAGCACGGTTATCGTCTATCGTTTGCCCTAAATAGAAACGTTGATTCTCGAGGTCACTAGCTGCTTCCTCTGACGCCCATCCCTAGTTCTGTGCAATAGGACACGTGTCCTTCCTTTTGGACTTAAACAACTGTTGCGGAATTGTCTCCATTTTGGATCCTTCGAAACTGCCACTTCCTTTCATTTCATTTCACAGATTTCAAGGTGTAATATACAAAAAAATGGATAAATGTATAAAAATACCTGTACCTGTATTTTTGATATTCATTATCGTTTGCAACGTTTCATTTATTTTCTGTAAAGAGTTTTATTATAATATTTTTATATCGACGCTTCATAACGTCGCCTTTGTGTAGCATTTTAAAGCAGTCTCTCATTGTGTCGAATTGATTAACAGTATTAATGAAAATTCTTTCAAATGCTTCAATTATCGACGATTGATGCCTGTCGATAGCTGGAAAATTCAATTCACTTCAGATCTATGAAAACCTGTAACTTCAACAAACACTGGAGAGACAATTCATAGAATAGATTTTTATTAACCTAAATTCCCTGGTATGATCTTAATATTGAAAATTTTAGAATTGCATTTCTAAATTATAAATTTTGAAATTTTTTTCGAATTTTTACACTTCATAAGTTAAGTCATAATAATTGATAAAGTTTCGCATTCGATTTCCAGCGAAATTTTTAGCACAGGGTACACAAATGTAGTTGACAGTTATACATTTTCATTATTAACTACAGCTACGTATTAAATGAAATCGTATAAATTGTTTGTTAAATTTCGTGTTTCATTTCGCCTGTTCCAATTCGATTATTGATATTTAATCAACGACGGTCACATCTCCAGCTCGCTGCTCGCTCGCGGGTAGCACCTGTTATATCGTTCGCGAAATTGCGAAATCCCGGATTATTAGCGATTCGTGCGTCGAAAATCCACCACGTGCCGTGGTTTCACCCTCCCCGTTTCGATTGATCGATCTCTAGCTGACGAATTCGCCCGATGATAAATAGCCTCGCACGTCTGACTAACTGATAGCCAAGCGAATTTCTATAATCCCTGCGATTTCCGAAACCGCCGATGGACGATTATTGAATACGATTGCGTCCAGTTAATTGGTACATGCAAATTGTTAGTCTACCACTGAAATCACGCGATACCATTGATTTCGCGTAATTAACGCTGGCGTTACAAAAATTTCGATTACAGTTTCATAGATAACACATTCATTTTTATGGAAACTTTCTGTTCGCATTTTCTATTCTTGCAAAGATTGCATTGGTGTACTCTATCTATGCGTGATTCATTAGATCTAAAAATAAAGCTGTACATATGCTTCATGATGCATTGGCCATTATCATAATAGTCGTTTCATAAATATTGTCGTTTATGAGTACTTTTATAAATGTTGACATTGCTGATTATTTTAACAGATATGAAATATCACGCTGCTGAAAATTATGTTAGGTATTTTTGTCCTAAACTTTGACCAGATCTTAACAGATAGGAAATATCACATTGAAGCTGCAGAAAATTAGGTTAGGTGCTTTCGTTCTCAACTTTGATCCAATATTAAATCTTGTTATATTTATTTTACATCACTTCAAGCACATAATACAAGTATTTTCAATTAGGTAAATGAATTAAGTCCTAATAATATCAGTCTATACATATAGAAATGTATTATTAACTGTTTAGTTGCATTTGGTTGCTGTTCCGCCATTTTGTGAGGCGCTTCAATATGGCGGTCGCTAAGGCGTTTTTGGCGGGAACTATTTTCTTCACTCAATTAATAATTATTGATTGGTATATTCGTACGGAAATATTAATCTTATATCAACATATGGTTGAACGTTGATGTCAGCCATCAGTTAACTCATTGACCGACAAATTTAAATTGTGAAAAATAAACTTTGCAATGTGTGTAAAGTATGTCACATATATGTGTTGGGTAACATTAAAACAGAAAATAATTTTGAGCACTAGGAACACATTTCATTTATATAATACATAGAGCCATAACAATTTTGCAAGTGGTAAAAATTACAAATAATAAAAAATATCAAGTTCCAAAAAATTATACAGGGTGTCTCAAAATTAGTGTAACTCCTCAACAGGAATTGTAGCTGGTTCTCAACTGTTTCCTCTGCAAATTTGCTTCGTGTTTGAACTACCACCAAAAAAACACCTTTTCCCTAATTTCCTTTTACACCTCTATCATACCACCCTTGAATCACCCTACACATTAAAATCCCCATACCTCAATAGCAAAAGTTATAATAAAAATTTGTGAACATCGAAAATATACCGATTGTTAGTCATTTCCACAATGTAGCCAGCGTCAAAAAATTGTACAGGAGCAATTGGTCGTGTTCAAACAAATAAACATATCTGGAATGGGGATCTCTGAAAACAAACGTGATCTCGCACGTAAATATTCATCGGAAGCGGTGGAGGCGTTGTATTTATTTAAATAAGCGAGTAGATATTTTAGCGTAGTGTTCGCTCGAAGTTCAACGCTTGGTACATCGTCAAGTTCCTCTCGTTGAACTAATTTCAAAGCCTTTTCGGTGACTGTACAATCTCAGTTATTTTCAGGTCCATAATTTCCGTTGCAAGTTACACAATCCTGCGTTTCCTGTGTGTAACAACCTTTGGGAGTTAATTAACTCCAAAATTTGTCGGGGAACTAATTCTATTGGTTCTCTTTCTTTCGTTCGAAGAAATTTCGAATTGCTGTTATGTAACGACTCTGAAATTAACGCTGAACTGGGAGATCTAGGGATATGTTTGGGAATTTGGGAACTTGGGAACATTCATGGGTATGTTTAGGTGTAATGTGTGTTGATATAAGTTTATTGAATGACAAGTTATTGGGTACTTTAATAATACACTGGTAATAAAATTATTTATTTATTTAAATATTTCAAGAATTATATAATTTATGTATTTAAATATTTTAGTAGTAAAATAATTTGCACAATTAAATGCTTTAATAAGTTTAAGTGTTTGTCACTTTTTGTTGAATGCTTCAATACATTTCTTTTACCATGCAAAATGAGCTGTTGATAAATTTATAATATAATTGTAATATACAATTATAATGTATTATATTAATAGATAGACTATCTATTGATAGATCTATATTTTCCAACTTCCATATTACTAATTAAAAATAAAATAAAAATAACAAATCTTTACATCATTCATACACACAACAGCGTATGTAAATAAAAAATATAAAATTGCACATCACAAAAACAAAATATTTTGCCTCAAAATAGCAATAAAAATCATCAAACACAAATACAAAATTTTCAAAATGCAATTGCGAGTCAAATTCGATTATATTTCATAATTTCCACCCCCTCACGCGCAGTCGCGATTGTCCAACGCTATGGTGATTCGTTAATGAGTGATAATTAGCAAAACAGTGTGTCGATTAATAAAAGGTGCATGATCAGACGTCGATCGAACGCATGACGATTCGCTTGAACGAATTACAAGCCCCATCGAAATTGAATCGCGTGTTCCAATTAACAAACACGCGTCAATGCTCGTCCGGTAATCGTGTCCGACGAATTTCGTGAAACGTTTCGATTCTGTGACATGACATTCGCATTCTGTATCGTGATCGAGTTACTATTTCGACTAAATATTATTTGTACATTTTTCGTTGTATTAATTGTTTAGTTGCGTTTAGTTTTGCCATTTTGTGGGGCGCTTCAAGATGGCGGTCACCTGGCGATCAGCTGATGCTGTGGCTGTTTTGGCGGGATTCTTTTATTCGCTGTGTGAGGCAAGTTATTGTGAATTTTTTGTTGCTATTGTAGTGATTTAGTGTTTTTTAGTGTTTTTTAGTGTTGTAGTAATTCATTCTTTTTTAGTAATTTATAGTAATTTATTGTTTCTTAGTGTTGTAGTAATTTATTGTTTATTAGTATTTTAGTAATGTATTGTTTTTTAGTGTTGTTGCAATTCATTCTTTTTTAGTATTACAGTAATTTATTGTTTATTAGTGTTGTAGTAATTTATTGTTTATTAGTATTATAGCAATCTATTGTTTATTAGTATTATAGTAATCTATTGTTTCTTAGTGTTGTAGTAATTCATTCTTTTTTAATATTTTATAGTAATTTATTGTTTCTTAGTGCTGTAGTAATTTATTGTTTATTAGTATTATAATAATCTATTGCTTGTTAGTGTTGTAGTAATTCATTCTTTTTTAGTATTTTATAGTAATTTATTGTTTATTAGTATTATAGTAATCTATTGTTTGTTAGTGTTGTAGTAATTCATTCTTTTTTAGTATTTTATAGTAATTTATTGTTAATAAGTATTGTAGTAAAATATCGTTTCTTACAATCATAGTAATTTATCCTCTGCTAAAATTACAGTCAAAATTATAAAATTAAACACATATCAAATTATACACAGTCAAATTATACATATATGGAAAACATCTAATATAATTGTAAGCATGTTATATTTCTATGAAAAATTGAATAAGGATTATTTTTCTATTGCTACAATTTTTTTCTCTCAGAATCAAACCTTCCTAAAACAAGTCAAAACCCCTAGAAACTTAATGAAAAGCATCAAAAGCTAATTTGATGCAACCACAGCTGATTCAATCAATGCATAAATCAATCAAACGGTGCATTTGTCAGTAAATCGTCGTTTATGGTTCTCTGAAAGCATCTAGTGATTCAATGAAAATCCCCAAGGAGCTCCTCAATGAATCACAGCCCGGTCGTTCGGACAGAGCGCAGTAAATTCGTTAATCAGTCAGCGTTACTCGCGCTTCGAATGAGCGAGGCACTGCTTGCAATTTTGCGGGGGCGTTTAAGTATGAATGAGTAAGAAGTCCCCACCATTCGATTCTCTCCCTTCCACTCTCCTCTCCGGGATCTTCTCTTTCGATCCTCCGTTGCTTCTCTGTTTCTCTCTTCAGCTCCCTCTTCGTCGGCAAACCGAAAGCACTAGTATCGGTCGGTTCTCTCTTCGTGTACCGCGCTTCTTTCGATCAGTTTTCTCTCGCGAGTTGCACGCGCGTGTCCTTTCGCGAGGACTCGAGTATCGGTCCTTCGTACACGAGACGCGAATTAACGCAGGATACACGGAGATTTATCGGCCAGGATCCCCGCTGGACGGGTTGCCTATCATCCGTCACGATGCGCCCTCGATGCACACGGTTAGTCTGTGGATTGATTATATTTGCGTAACTAGTACTTTTGAAGTGATGTATAAATGCATTGGTAGAGGAAGGTAGATTTATTGTGAGGAACCACGTGGGTTTGGGAAATTTTGCGATTTCGGATACGTTTGGTAATTTGAAGATTTTTAATACATTAACGTTTGGTAACTTCGAAGATTCAAGTCCATGAACATTTGGTAATTTGAAAATTTCAAATGCATGGACATTTGATAATTTTGAAGTTTCAAGTCTATGAACATTTGGTAATTTGAGGATTTTTCATGATTTAACATTAGGTAATTTTGAAGATTCAAGTCTATGAACATTTGGTAATTTGAAGATTTTTAATGCATTGATATTTGGTAATTTTCATGATTCAAGTCCATGAACATTTCTTAATTTGAGGATTTTTAATACATTAACATTTGGTAACTTTGAAGATTCAAGTTCATGAACATTTGGTAATTTGAGGATTTTTAATGCATGGACATTTTATAATTTTGAAGTTTCAAGTCTATAAACATTTGGTAATTTGAGGATTTTTAATGATTTAACATTAGGTAACTTTGAAGATTCAAGTCCATGAACATTTAGTAATTTGAAGATTTTTAATGCATTGACATTAGATAACTTTGAAGATTCAAGTCCATGAACATTTGGTAATTTGAGGATTTTTAATGCATTAATATTTGATAACTTTGAAGATTCAAGTCTATGAACATTTCTTAATTTGAGGATTTTTAATACATTGACATTTGCTAACATTGCAGATTCAAGTCCATGAACATTTGGTAATTTGAGGATTTTTAATGATTTAACTTTAGGTAACTTTGAAGTTTCAAGTCCATGAACATTTGGTAATTTGAGGATTTTTAATGCATTAATATTTGGTAACTTCGAAGATTCAAGTCCACGAACATTTGATAATTTGAGGATTTTTAATGATTTAACATTAGGTTACTTTGAAGTTTGAATTCCATGAATATTTAGTAACTTTAGAGTTTCAAGTCCATGAACATTTAGTAACTTTAAAATATCAAGTCCATAAACATTTGGTAATTCTGAATTTTTAAATATGTGAACATTTGGTAACTTTGAAGTTTCAAATCCATGAACACTGATTAATTCTGAAATTTTAAATGCGTGGACATTTGGAATTTTTCATAATTCGAATGCGTGGAAGTTTAGTGATTTTGAATCACGCAATACATGAAAATTGAGTAATTTAAAAATATGAATACTTGGAAATTTTTAAGTTTAGAAATTTGGTGATGTAGCCATTTGAAAAGTTAGAAATTTGAAAATTCAGAAACTTGAGAATTTCAAAATTTAATCAAAAAGTTTGGAAATTTGGAAGTTCAAAAATGAAAAAATTTGAAAATTTATGAAACACGAAAATACAAAAATTTATTAATTTTAAAAAATGCAACAAAATGAGAATTGCAAAGTAAAAGCTTGAAAATTTCACAATATACAGATGATCCCGGTATCTATTTGCGTCAATATCTGCATATTAATTGAAACTTCAATTGATTAATAATTAATTAATAATAACTCGGCACGTACTGAAGCCACGATAGCAATGCTGAACGTCAACAAAATTCCCCATATTTGTTCATATCAACAAACTGTCAATAACAATAAAATAATAAAAACTGAGAATCAAATTGAAACTCACAATCACTATGGTTAATTACTGTATAATTCTTAAAAATCCCTGTTAATGGGAATATAAATGTATTTGTGACCCTGAAGATCTCGATGTTAACGATTTAATAATATATCAAGGTGTGGACACTTCTGACACGTGCAGTCATAAATTGTTCCACGTCTACTAATTGCATCGACAATTATTAAACTAATTTACCAATTCAATTTTAATGACACAAATTTTTCAAGGTCGTCCACTTATTCCCATTGTAAAATTTCAATCAATTTTCATCTATAAACGATTCTATTAAAATGAAGTGTTATTTCGCTTTAATTCACACATGCTTATATTGACGCAATATACATATATTTAACGTAAACATGGCAATATTGCAGATAAACGTTCACGTATGGGCAAACATATTGCATCAATTTTCAATGATTGAAACAACTGTGTGTGTAGTTATACACACATGGGAATATAGCTATATTTGCAGTTAGTTTATTTGAAAATAGCTGAATAGCTTTGTATGGTTCTTCAACTGTATTAATTATACTATCACAAACATACTATTACATAAATTGCAAATTTTATTATACTTTACATTTATATTTTGTGTCTTACATTTTTAATATGTATTACATAAAAATGTTATTAAAAAATTCTATACCTTTATATAACATATGTGACATATATGTATACATATACACACATGTGTATGCTGTTAAAAAATTCTAATATATGTTCTAAAATAAAAGTTCTATACCTTTATACACATACATATGTAACATATATGTATATATAATACATATGAATTTTTTAATAGTAGACATATGTATGTATATGTAACATATGTGTATATATGTATATACATATAAACATATGTACATGTACTATTAAAAAATTCATATGTAACATATGTGTATACATATACATACAAACATATATACATATACTATTAAAAAATTCATATGTAACATATGTGTATACATAATACATATGAATTTTTTAATAGTATGCATATGTATGTATATGTAACATATGTGTATACATATACATACATACGTACATATACTATTAAAATATTCATATGTAACATATGTGCATACATATACATAAAAACATATGCACATATACTATTAAAAAATTCATATGTAACATATGTGTATACATACATTATAACACTACAGAAAAATGCTATAGCAATAGAAAAAAATACTATAAAAAATACAATTACATAAATTACATATTTCATTATATTTTGCATCTTACATTTTACTATCCATCACATAAAAACACCATTAAAAAATACCATTGTATAATGCTATAAAAAAATGCAACAACAAAAAAGATAACAAAAATTGAAAATAACTTCGTTATCCATTCGCGTTAATTTCATATGCCCCTCAAAAACGCACGACCACGGGCAAATTTTTCACGTCGTCCCCAGCTTATAGCTCTGTTCGTTGTTCTGCTTTGGTAGTTTGCGTATTCCATCAAGGGAATCGTGTCGCTGGCTGCTATTAAGGGGCGATCCACGGAGCACGCTTTACATTATTCATCGGCCATTTCAACGCGCGTACCGACCAATCGCTCGTAAATCGCGAGCTCACTTTTCATTAAGACGTCCACAGACCCAGTGAATGAGCCGCTGAATGAATTTCCAGAACCATTGGTCTTCCTGTCCACTCGCCCTTGAACGATGTACTTCGCACACTGGGTCACGGAACAATGTCGATGCTTGCGAAATACCTGCACTGTGTGTTGCTTCAAAATTATTTCACTTGTTCAGGTGTTGTATGAAGTTCTTTTTGTGGAATGTGATGTGTGGATTGATGGAGCACGGTGAAGAGGATATAATGTGGATTATAGAGTGAGGGATGTGGTTGTATGGGAGGGATGTGATGTTAGATGGTTTAGATAGTTTTTGATTGAAATTTTCAAATCTTTGAATTTTTGGAAGTTTGTATTGTTGGAAGCTTGAATTTTGGAGGTCATAAGTTTCGGGATGTTTTATGTTACTAATGATTCTGGATTTTCATGTAGCTAACCTCTAAATCCATAAATTTAACGAATTTATAAATGTTTAAAATTATGAATCTCCAAATGTATAAATCTCTAAATCATCAAATCTCAAAGTCTTTACATCTGTAAATCTACAAACCTAAAAAACTCTAAATCCCCAAAGATCCAAATCTCCAAATTTCCATTTGTTTAATTCTCCAAATTTTTAAATCTCCAAAGCTCCAAATCACAAAATCTTTATATCTCCACATCCCTAAATCTCCAAAACTCTAAATTTCCAAAGCTCTAAATCCAAAAGTCTATATCTCCAAATCCCTAATTCTCCAAATCTCTAAATCTCCAAATCTCCAAATCTCCAAATCTCCAAATCTCCAAATCTCTAAATCTCTAAATCACAAAACCTCCAAATTCCCAAAGCTCTAAATCCAAAAGTCTATATTTCCAAATCCCTAATTCTCCAAATCTCTAAATCTTCAAATCTCCAAATCTCCAAATCTCCAAATTTCCAAATCTCCAAATCTCCAAATCTCCAAATCTCCAAATCTCCAAATCTCTAAATCACAAAATCTCCAAATTCCCAAATTGCTAAACGACCAAAAGCCCAATTCTCAAACCTCTAAATCTCCAAACCACCAAATCTAAATTTTTAAATCCCCAAACTTGCAAATTTATAAATATCTCAAAATCCCTAAATGCCAAATTATCAAAAACTCAAACTCTTCAAAGGTTCCAAATGAATTCTCAAATTTGTTTCACTCTATCTGTTTTAATATACAAATTTTATACATGCATATACATACATATTTTTGTAGTGCTTCATATTTGATGTTAGTAACTAGGTATGTCTGTAAAAGTACAAAAAAATTACTTATTTGTTCCGAGTTTCATTATGTTGATACAAGGAGTAAAGTTTTAGGAGCGAAGTAGCTTAGTTTCTAAGTGTTTCCAGGCTAACTAACGGATAAATGAACAACGATCCTCAAGAATTTATGGTTACCGTGTTCCTAGTTTGCCCTAATTGTTTTGCAAACTTGTTACTAGACGTTGTAATTAATTTTTCATTCTGCAAAATGAACATAATACCTCTTTTGAAACTGCGCTTTCAAAAATAGGAAGCGGTTTTCATCATCTGATTTATGGAACTAGTTGCAGCATCTCTGTTCTTCTTTCGTAAATGCAAATTTGTAAATTTATGTATTTGGAGATTGAGGAAAAAAATTCTTAAAAATTGTACTTTTGAACATTTTGAAAATAATGTGGAACTTTAGTGAAACTTGGAAATAAACCTTGAAATGAAGAACCTTGCAAATTTAGGTTTTTAGAAAATTTGAAAATTGAAGCTTTGGAAATACGGACTCTTACAAGTTTAGAATTTTACAAATTCAAAAATATAAAACCTTGTAAGGTTAGAATTGCTGAAATATAAAAAGAAAAATAAATATTTAAGAATGCAAGAATTTGAAATATTAAAAACTTAGGTGTTGGTCTGCAAACTTTAAACTGTGCACGTAAATAAATACAAAATGAAATTGAACGATACAGTTGTTAAGGACTTGTACCACCAGGGACTCTCTGTTTAGAAATGCAAATTATCACGTACTTTACTGAGAACCCCTATCTACACGCATAGAAAATACAAAATGTCAGCCGATGATCTATGAAGTCGACGAAGACTAAGACCACTAGGTCTGTTTAGAAATCGTAATATACATGTAGTTATCTCAGAATCCTAATTCACTCATCGAGTGCAAGATGCACTTAATCAATTGATACAGTTGTCAAGAGAGTCTAGGACCACCAGCAGACCTCTAATGACAATCGCGATAAAGTCAAGTCAGACTCTTGAGTCATATTCGCTCGAACAGAGTACAAAATGCATTTAAATGATGCAAGTATTAAGAACGAAACATTAGTAGATCTGTATTTAATAAAAATTCCAATGAACGTAAGTTAACACAGAAACCTGATTTACAAGGACGAGTAATGGAAGATAAAATGGAGAATGTATAAATTTGGTCGATGCAGTTGTTGAGGAGGAGGAGCACCAGGAGATCTTTGCTTAGAAATAAAAATCGTAATGGACCTGTTGTTGTAATGCATAGTTGTAATGAGTCGAAGGAGTTCAAAGTGTACTAAATGATGTGATTGTCAAGGAAGAGTAGACCCATCAGTAGACTTCTTTTTAATAAAAATCGTGATGAAGTTCATCTCGACTTAGAGGAGGAGTCACTCCTCACTGAGGAACACAGTTCTCCAAAACCAATAGTTCGCCATTTCTACACTTCAACGACAAATACTTTTTGATATATTAATTATACAATTTCGGGATTAATATACTAAACACAAGGTACCTCTTTAACACGCTTCCAAACACAATGTACCTCTTTAACACACTCCCAAACACAATGTACCTCTTTAGCACACAAGTTACCTCTTAAACACACTCCCAAACACAAGTTACCTCTGATCAGCAGACTACATCGATGAAACCATTGCTTCATACATCTATTGGACAAAAATTATTACATATCCTACATTATTCCTATAATATGCAGATTCCTAGCACATAAAACGCATAAGGAATGCGCATTGTCAGCGTGTGTGAGTATAAAAGAGAGCCATCCGAGCGATGCAGTTGTTAAGGAAGAGCAGGACCACCAGGAGGTCTCTGTTTAGAAATGGAAAAGAGTGTAAACGAAACGTAACAGTCTGTGAAAGACATGAAGCAAAGAAGTCCCGAAGAGGGTGTAGGAGGGGGAGTAAAGAAATTGACGGTGACTCGAGTGTCAGAAGGCCGCAGGCTCGTGGTCCCTGACCGGTCGACGCAGCCTCCTCCCGGTTCCAGAGAATCAGAGTCACGTTCAGTCAGTGGCCGACTCCCGTACGCGAAGGTGGTGCGCGTTTCTCGTTCGTTCAACACTAGTGTCGAGAGGGCTTTTCCGGTTTCACTGCGTGCTTCCCGATCCTCAGCGGGAATGACGACCACTAGCAGCACGTGGTTAGTTCTGAATACTATTCTTTTTATTATTAACTTTTTTTTGGTGTTGTAATTATTATTTATCGGTGTTGTAATATAATATTTTGCTGTCTTCTTTTTTTATTGGCAATTTTGTACGGGTTCGATGAAAGAGAAATTTTTTATTTGCATTGGAGGTGTTTATATTTCTAAATAAGAATTAGGGTATTTTATATTAGTTAGGGTCTTTTATATTCATAACAGGAATGTTGTAGTGGAACACATATGTTTTGCTACATTTTTTAGTAGCAATTTTATATACTTGCGTGGTTTATCTCGTATGAAGATATTTAAAATTAATTATAGAAATTGTAGAAATAATTATAGTTTTTATTTTCTGTTACATTACTGTATTTGAGTAGTGGATTTTTTTTACAAAATTTGCATAGATATAAAGAAGAAAACACACCACAAAATTTTTAGAAACTTTGATTCATACTCATAAGGGTTGTTTTATGAATTATAGTAATAAAATTTTTGCCATGTTTTTATTAATAATTTTATATACGAATAATCCTGTATGAAGGTTCATGAAAAAAAGGAGACAGAATATTGTTTATTATATTTAGACCAGGATTATTTATTTAAATGGTAACGGGTGATTCAGTAGAACACTGCGATTCTCCGGAACAGAATTAAAGAAGATTAAACTACAAAATCTTTTCATATTCGATCTCATATTCCACGAAATTTATTTTGAAAATTTACCAAGTATTTGGGAAAAATTCACTGCATGTCACAGTTTTAGGAAATTATTGATACAATTAATAAATGTTACAAATCAATATATGTGGTTATTAATATTATTACTGTAATTAGTACTGTAAAATGTAAAATGTGAAGTTATGTTTAATACATAATATTCACATGAGTATGTAACATAGTTTGGTAGTTAGATTGAGAGAATAGCGAAGTTAAAATATTTTTAAAAAATCTTTTAGTATTTTACTTAAGTATTTACTGCGATAATTTAGTATGATAATGAATTTGTGTAATAATTTATTTAAAATGTCGTCGAAATTATTAATAAATTTTTCTACTATGAAGTAGTATTTTCTTATACCATATACATAAGGTATGTTCAAATATTTTTCTAATACACAGTATCTAATTTAATATTCCATAACTAATTTTTATCATGCTCATATATATTAATATTATATGTCGTACATCTAAAGCAGAATTTATATAAACTCTAATTTATTTAAAATATTTTTATTTACTTCATTTCATGACTCATTTATCTCATCATCAAAAACACATAAAAACATAAACAATCATCTAACTATATTAATCACCCTTTCCAAGCTACATCCATAAAAATTTGCAATACTTTACTTCAAATTTGCTTCAAATAATTTACTCCAACATTAAATTTGTAATTTAAATACTTTTAAATGTTTAGTTGGAAGCTGTTGATTATTATTAACGAGATTCGTAAAAAAAAATGATTACATTATAAATAGCCAGTCCACTCATTTTTATCTGTTCCATTACCGTGCTTATCCGAGTATTACGACATATACGTGGTTCGCGTACAATTGTGACATAATTACGAGGCCGCCCGCGAACTATAACGAGCTGCTTTTACCCGCTTCTTTCACCGATTTTTTGCTTCGTTGAGATACGTGAAACTCATTTGTACTTTTCGTCGATTAGATGATATTTAGCGGTAATTTATTAGTATGCTATTCAAATTATTTCAAACGAAAAAATCGTGGAACAAATTATTTATAGACGGTGTTCTTATTTCATAAGTTTGCAATTGATGCAAAATTTTATAAAGCTATTTATAAGCCAACAAATTTTATATTTTTTTTGACGGAACAATATATTTTTTTTACACTATTTGTTACGAAACTTTATTTCTATAGATGCTGTAAGTTTTATGTAAAATAATTTTTTTACATAATTTATGAAGAGGGACATCGTATAAGAAATGCTGTAATTTCTATGTAAACTCCATTTTTTTTTAAAGGAAGCACATATCTTTTTACGCGGGTTTTTGCATAAAATCGTACGCTAAAAATATTAATGATTCATGAGACGTTTTGAATTGAAAAATAAACAAAGTTCAAATATTTTCACGAATTGTTATTCTTAATATTCTACATTTTACGAAAAATGTAGCAAAGAATTGATCCACATAAATAACAAGGTAGCTCCAGTATTTACGCAAAGCACAAGAAATATTTAACCGATAATTTCTACCAAAGTTCATAACAGGTTACAAATATCCAGAAATGTGCAATCAGTTTTCATTGGGAGAAATTCACTCACGAGGCAATTAGCCGATAACAGTCTCGATTTTCCCCGGTTTTCCGCCAAATAATCCCGATTCGTAGGCGCAAAGTAGTTTCGCGTGTTCGGAAAGTTAATCGAACGAGGTCCAGGCAGGAAGTTCTCGTGTGAAAATTCCCAGGAAAAGCTATGGGCGTCGGATTTTTACGATCCTCCTGACACACAATTCGCGTGGCACATGTGGTGGAAGGGTGGCAAGTTTCTCGGGACATGTGCGTCCGTTTCTCCTATCTCTCTCCCGTCATTTGTCAAAACAGTCGGTCGTTGCTCGCGCTGCATCGTGTGCCAGCCGATTTCTTCGTTTCCTTTCTTTTCTGCCGGGTTCGAGATTAACGGAAGAAAAAGCTGCTTGTCGCTTTCAATTAACGAGAAAAGGTCCGTTTGCCCTCTTGCTCTTTACCGGCTCTCGTGAATCGCTCGAGCATCATCTCGACCGCAATTCCTCCGGTTCTAATGCTCATGGAACGTGACAGAAGTCTCGCGTTTATTTTTCCGGCTGTTCTTTGAAGCGGGCCTCGAACCGTTGGATAAAGGAAGGTCGAACCGCTGGATGCGATCTAGCAAATCATGTTTCTCGGTACAAACCGTTTGTTTTCTTTCTCTTTGTCTGTTTGCGTGGTAACCGAGTGAGAACGTATGGCTGTTATCGTTCACAAAATTTCTTCTCTCTAACCGTTCGGTAATGTACAAGTTTAGACGAACAAATTGTGTTGCGTTTTTCATTGGGCCATCTTTTTTCCGGACGACTTCGAACAATATACCGACGCGTGAATTGATGGTGTATATACTGTGGACGTTGGGAATGTGGCGAATTTGAGCACTTGGGAAACTTGGGAAATTTGAAGAATTCGATAATTTGAAATTCAGGGAATTTGGGTAATTTAGAGAATTTGGAGAATTTGGAGCATTTGGGAAATTTAGAGAATTTGGGGAATTTAGGGAATTTGGAGAATAGGGAGAATTTGGGAAATTTAGGGAATTTAGAGAATTTGGAGAATTTAGGAAAATTTAGGGAATTTGAGGTATTTGAGGAATTTAGGGAATTTGGCGAATTTAGAGAATTTAGAGAATTTGGGGAATTTGGGACTCTGGGAAATTTGTCGAATTTAGAGAATTTAGGATATTTGGTGAATTTAGAGAATTTGGGGAATTTAGAGAATTTGGGGAATTTGGCGAATTTAGAAAATTTAGGGAATCTAGGAAATTTGGAAAATTTAGAAAATTTGGGGAATTTAGGAAACTTAAGGAATTTAGGGAGTTTGGAGAATTTAGGGAATTTGTCTAATTTAGAGAATTCGGGGAATTTAGAGAAATTAGAAAATGTCGGGAATTTAAGGAATTTAGAGAATTTAGGAAATTTAGGGAATGTGAGGAATTTTAAGAATTTAAGGAATTTAGGGAATTTGAGGAATTTAGGGAACTTGGGGAATTTAAGGAATCTGATAAATTTAGTCCTTTGGGAAAAATTGAAAAAATTCGAAGATTTGAAAAGTGTAGAATTCGGGAATTCAAAAATTTGAAGAATTTTGAGAATTTGTTGAATTTCTGGAATTTAGGGAATTGAGGAAATTTAGGGAATTTAGGGAATTCAAGGAATTCGGTCTTTTAGTAAAATCAGGTACTTTGAAATTTTATAAATTCGATAATTAATTCACAGAAGCAAAAAGTTAAAAATTCAGAAAACACAATATAAAAATTTTCCAATATAAAAAATCTGAAAATCATAAAATTCCCTAAATTCATCCACGAGCTGATAGAAACAGTCCATAAATAAAAATAGTTCGTAACAGTCCGAAAATATCACGGTCATAAGCCCGCGAATCCGTTTTCCGAAAAAACAGCGATAAGGCACGTCGTATTAATCGCATACCGCGTCACCCTCTTCCCAATATTTTTCCTTCTCTATTCCCTTTATTGCCGGTCCGCAAGCTCCGATAGTTAATCTCGCGTTCGCCGCGAGCGTTCGCAGCGTTGAATTTTAAATCTGACGTATTACACGCGTAGCCTGTGTACAGCGAGTCGGAAGGACATCTACATAGAGGCAGGAATTAGCATAAGCCATTGTCCTGCCAACGGATCGGCCAGGAGAATGGTATCTGAAAGCTCGCCACAATAACCCTTTATACAGAGCGCAGGTGGAGAGTACTGTTATAACCGTAAATCCGCTGAAAACGTATCGCGCGATTTCGCGATTCTATTCGATCGTCCCCAGGAAATTACGATTTCCCAATTAACCGATTATTATCGCTGGGTCAGATATTACCCGCTCTCAATTACGACGCGTCTTGATTATGCGGGCTAAGCACGATAATCGGACAATCGTGCTTCAAATTGATTTAAACGCCGTAATAGAACTCATCGATTAGTTAATTAATTCCTACAAATTTTTTTTACCTTTTTTCAAACGTTCTTTGCTTCTCGTTTATAGTCCCTTTTTCTATATTCGCATTTGATCCTCATTTTTATTTAAATCATCTTTATTTTTTAATTAAATTTAATTTACGATTTCCATAGGTGCGTCATACTGTGCGTCCAACTTATTGTAACAGTGTTAAGATTAGTAAGAAAATATGAAATGTTAAACATCATTAAAATATTAATAAACATAGCACGATTAACATGTACCATCAATCTTGAAAAGCGAACAATTATCTCGAAATTATGTTGGAAATTTTTCGGGT